ACGCCTCCCATCGGGCCTGGGGGAGGAGGGTGGTGGCCGCCTCGCCTGCACCCTCCTGGGGCGGCCGGGCCCCTCGCTCGCCACTGCCTTTTTGCATGTGGAAGGCTGGAGAAAAATTATCCCCCGTTCTGCTTCCTCTTGACCTCTAGGAATGCTTTCCACTTTGAACCTGGTTTGGAGGGGGAGGTGAGCTCCTCTGTCGAGCAGACTCCTTGCCTCTAGTTTCAAGGACTAATAAAGTCTCCAGCCCCCAGAATTGCTGTCCTGGACTTAGTAGGAAGGATATAGGGTTCCCAGGCTCTGTGTATTTCTAATTATGTGTAGTTTTATAGATGAGAAATATTTCTTACCCAACATGACTCTTTGCAGAAGAAATGGAAGAGGATAATGGAGGAGTCTTTCTTTGGTCTTCCAGACCTGCAGAGAGTTTTACAGGAAAGGTGTGGGGGAGGGACTGGAAGCTTATCCCAGCCCAAGTGGTGCATTGTTGGGTATGTTAACTTGCATCTAATACTGCTTTATGAAGCCTAGGGGGAACAGATGTATTAAGACTCTTATCTGTTACTGTTGCCCATTCATCGTGCTGCAAAGGGTGCATCTTATTTCCTTAGTCTCTTGTCTTAGAAGGAAGAGTCAAGATCCCAACCATCATAGCCCTTTTTTGGGCTTAGTGGAAATAAGGAAGAAGTGTCTAGTGCTTCAAGCTTATTGTGAGTCCACTGTTTTGTAGTCTTGTATACTTCTGCAGGAGAAAGATGGTGTAGCCTATGCAGTACATGCCATTTGTTCTTTGGGGGCTTGGACAATTTATCTCCTCACTCCTTCTGAAGGAATGGAAGGAGGTGAGCATTCCTTCCTTCCATGTCTAAATTTGCTGTCTTCCACTGAGTGTCATCTTTTGCCCAGTCCTCCTGAAATCTGAAATGACAGGTCTTACCTGAATTAAAATGTAATTAAACTGATGCAGACTCACATGTATGGTGCACTTCATTCATGACCATCTAGCCTAAGTTAAAACTATAACTTGTGTTAATGCCAGGACACTTGACTAAACATCTAATGTTCAGGCAACGCTCCTTCCTTGATTGGTATTCTGAACATACAATGATATGAGATTACATTTTCAAGTACATACCTGTTTTGGAGAGCTAGAAGGCCATTTTTGCAAGTAAGATAGGATATAAGTAATTTGCAAGTTCCTGCTGCCTATGATAGGTTTTGTGTCTGTCCATTCACATGTTAATGCACCCTTAAAAATAAGGAGCACTCTTTATTAGTTATAAAACCTGGAAAGTGATGTAAAATGGGATACAGCTGAATATCTGAGGCTTTTTTAACAAGATCAGAATGGCAGAGTTTGCTTTGGAAGCTTATCCCTTTTGAAACCTCCTCGTTATGTGAAGGAGGCCAAGAACTGGTGTCCACTGAGCACTGAGTTGATCCTTTGACCAATAGCAAATACTAAGAAACGTAGAACTCCTAGACATTGTTTGTAATAGTCTAGCATTGAGGACCAAATACAAGAAGGTTTACAAATAGCTGTTAGAGTAAAATTACTTATTTGAAAAAACTGAGAACAGTTTTGTTATTTTAAATGCATCGTCCAAAAAGGAAAAAGTTGAATTTTAAACACTTGGAGACTGTTAGAGAGGAGTTGGCCACATCTCTGAAGCTGGAATTGACTGGGGATTTCTTGTGTTGTGTGTTTCTGGTTATGGAGAGCAATCTGCAGGAGATTCTGTCCTTCTGTCTAGGAAGGATGTGCCTCATCTGTAGTGCCTTGCTAGGTTATGGGGAATGGTTGTGAGGACCAAAAGTGAATTTTCTTTTCAGTTTTCTTGTGTATGTGTGAGAACTAAAGAAGTACCTGTTGCTCATGTTCTTTGCTCAAAAAGTAAAAAAGCAATTAAACTCCTGGGATGGAACACTGCAATTCTTCAACAACATTACTTTGAAAACCCAGCGACTGTTTGGACTGTGGTCTTGTGTCATGAGTCACTGATTAGGGTGTATGCCTTTAGCTACTACCAGTGAGTGGAATTAGTGAGAACTAGAAAGGAGAATTAAATAAATAAAGTGAGTGTTTGCCATGCTGCCTTGATCTGTGCTCTTTTTCTCCATGTGTGAAGTCATAAAAATAATGCTACAGTGTTCTGTAAGCTCTGCTGTGTGTGCGCAGTGGTATTTAGTTTTTGTATCCTTGTATATATGCTAAATTAATTGGATTAGTCAAAATGGCAGTTTAAGTAGAAAGGAAAATCATCAGGAAAGTGCAGGAAGACGACTATAATGCAGTATCTATCTAGAGAATGAAAGGACTAATATATTTTAGCTTAACTTTCCTGAAAATATATTGCATTTCTTACCTCAGAACTCCAAGCACTTTACAAAGGGAGTACTGTCTTCATTTTACAGATGAAGACAGTGGAAAAAAAAGATACTAAGTTCATCCTATTTTGCAGAGCAGGGAGTAGAACCCAAGCTTTCTGATTTCCTAGTTCAGGGTGTACTTACAGCAGTCATCGAGCTGTTGTTTGGAAAAACATACTGGAATGGATCCTTTATAAATTAGTTGTATAAAGTCCATAAGGTGAAGTTTAAATGTAGCTGTATTGAGTCTTTTCTAGAATTGCCAATTAAAAATATCAAATGCAAATAGAAGCAATTGCAAGCTGAAGCGTGCCTTTGGGTATTAAAGGAAGAGGCTAGGAGACTTTTCCTGTTTCTGTGTAAAATAGAGGTGAAGGCATGGTTCTTTTGATTGTTTGGAGAAATTTTCACTGGTGGTTGCATTCTGAGAGATGAGGTAGTTTTGGCCTTCCTGTAAGTAGTTGCTTGGTTGCCTTCTAAACTTAATCAGGTTTTGGACGCAGCTTGCAATTTGTTTGGAGTGAAATTCTGGTATAATTTTAACTACCCTGCTACCACTGCTTAGAATTTTGCTGGCATTTTAAGTGGTGCCAAAGGCATGAGTATTAAACTATCTCCTTGATACTAGTTGTGAAACCTGTAGGTCAAGGTGGCAGCATGTTGGCAGTACTGTGATTAATAGTGCATATATGAGGAGCCTGTAGAATCCTTGGTTGTTGAGAACTTCTGGCCACAAAGTGTGCAGGTTCTTATCAAAAACTGTCTTAACAGAAAACTG